ATAGACTGCATACAATGCTTCAGAGATTACAGGATGCTTCCAAACTAAGGTAGGGCTCTCACGGTGTAGCCTTAATCTTCCAATCCTTGTCTTACGTTTAATAGTTACATCACTTGTACACTGCAAGCACAAGACAGAATGATCTATTCAAATATTAGGAATTGTCATTGTGATATCTTCTCAAAATATTTGGCAGAAGTACAGGGCAGAGATGTAATGCCCTGAGTGTGACAACTTGATTTGAGTGAGTCATGCACTGGCCAACATGTACACATACCAGTAAACCTGGTAAAGATACCAGGTATACTGTATATGTACAGGCCTGGATAGACAGTTTAATCAATGTCAGCAGATACGATAAGTCCCAATAAGCCTTTTGTGAGTTAAATTTGAATAAAATCTGGTACACTGAGTTAACAATTTGAATCCCCAGACTAAAGACACTGTTGCTATACTTCATGATTCGGGGCAAACTTTTGCATAGCAACCATCATCTCTGGAATGGACTGGTTCCTTTGTGCCCTTCTTATCCATTGAAAACTGTGTATTGTTGCAAGGCTTCTCTTATGTACTATTAAGCTTCCCTCGAATCATGAGGTTCAGCAACAGTGAATTTAAAGAACCAGATTTTATTCAAATTTACCTTGCAAAAGGCTTTTCTGTCTCCGTCTTTTGTGTCTGAGTGCTGAAAGTCAATGGCTCAAATCAACTCCAACATAAATTTGGCACTACTCCAACAGAAACACAGCTATTTTTTCTTGTTTAATGTTGCGGCAAAGGTCCAGAGAGTGCCAAATTTTATGCATGTCTGGTGTTCAGTTAACAAACAGAGGCTTTTAGTGTTATGACATTTAGAAAAAAGATGCAACACTTTGTGTTCCACTAGGGTTCACTAAGTGACATCGTGTTCTAACATAATTATTTCAATTATTTTAAGAACTAAAATTTTGGAAATTTTGACCAAGCACAAGTACTTGCGCAATAGGTGTGATTCACGAAAAAGGACTCTCTGAAATAACCGAATGATCCTGCCTTCCCCTTATGACAAAAACAGGGAGTTCTAGGGCTGCATTAGGAAAGTACGGACACGGTACATTGATTTAGAGCTATGTGTTCTCACTGAATGACAGAGTTGCACAATGCCCAGCTTTTTTTTCCCACGATATGGTGTGCGATTCATGAAAGCCTTCTAACAATTGTGAGCCAGCTATGGGGTTCTCTCTTCTTTGTTCTTCAGTTTGACTGTCATAGCAAAATCTACATGAAATTTCAGTCATAGATGAAAATCATGAAGTGTACATTTTCAAAAAATAGAAAATATTTTCCAAAATTCATTCTCACAAGGTGCATTTTGTCCAAAATTGATTGATTAGTATTTTTATTTAAGATGTATTTTTCCAAGTTCGTTTTTAAGAAATATAGGTTTCATGTTCATTTGTACAAGTTACCTGATTATCTTTACATTTTGATACTCAATGTTCAAAGAAGAATTTGTTTATTTAACTTCTGCCTAAGTTAAAAGGACTTCAAAAAATGACATAAATTGAATCTTGTAAAAACAAACTTTAGGGAAAAAATCTATTTCTAAAATATATATTTTCTAAAAACTATATTTCTAAAATGTACCTTATAAAAACAAACTTGGCCCAAATATTTCTTGTAAAACAAATAAAAAAAATTATACTTCCCTTTCTCAAATGTACACTTCAAGGCTCTTGTCAGCATTTTGTATCAAACTAGAAATTAAAGTGAAGTCATACCTTTGGCAGTAGCACACTCCGTGTACATAGGCAGATGTCAACCCTGTTTGATACTTTTCAGCTAAAGTCAAGCTCTCAAACAATCACAATTAAGATGGTATTTTGTACCTTACTTGCTATCCTGGCATTCAGAGTGTCGTAGTACTCTATTAAACTCTAATGCACGTTTGGGCAACAAAGAGAATTAGTTCTAAAGTTTCTTGTACTCTCCACACACTATTGAAAGAGAGCTTTCAAAGGATAACTTACAAAGAACAAAATACAAATGTGCTATTGTGTTCGGGGTTCATAAGCTATACTGGGTGACAAACTTCTTTTTTCCATTTTTTTTAAAGGGGGGGGCCAGCTTTGTTATAATTTCCCTGCACTCAGCCAGTACTTAGAAAAACAAAATTTGTAAGCCCCGCCCCCTTAAAAATTACTGTGGGGGGTATTCACCGCTTCTGTAGTGTTAACGTTGCTTAACTTCTATGCCAGACATCTAACGACCTAAAAAAGATGTCTGACATCATCAGATGGGGATACCCCAACCTCAATCCATTGCACAATATTTGAATCTTACAGATCTTATAAAAACATAACACACAGCACACTGCTACACATGTACATGAAGTTACCGGTAGGGACCAGTCAACAAAACAAGCGACAGCTGGTATAACTGTCACTAAGTTGTCGGGATATGAGCCCTGGAGACAAAATGGAATCAAATTCTTCTGGCGTAGAAAAGGAAGTGACAGACATCCCTCAGGTAATAATCTTAAACCTACGTATCTACATTAATCTCATTTTTTGAAAATTGACTTGTGCAGCCCGTAACTTACCGGTAGGAAGCCCTTATCAGTAAATTAAATGTGGTTTTATTTATTTGCCAACATGCAAATGTCATAATCTTTGGCATACAAGCAGAATGTTTTGGCATTTTTATTGTATTCTGCTAGTGTTCCCCCAGGGTGTAGATAACAATGAGGACACCCCCCCACACACACACACACACACACAAACCTACGGTACTTCTCATGAGCTTCAGCATTGTTGACTGTGCTGGCTGGCCAAAAAGTACTCAAGAGTACAAAATCAATTTACTGTATATTTGAATTGAATCTTCACAATTCCATTACAAGTCCATAGCATGCCACCAAGTCTCAAATCACAAGCCATTTACATGAATTATGACATACACACTGATTTGCTATTACCTTCTTAATTGTGCGCCTTATGCCAATTAGAATAGGCACATGAACATGTACAACAAGCCAAATTCAGGTTTGGAATATAAATACATACCAAAACACGTCCTATAAAAAAGTTATTTCTGGTGTGGCATGATTGTCATAGAGAGCCGGATGAGTAAAGACCGGATCTTTTTCCCAGCAATAACTAAGTACACGGTATACCGCCAGGTCAATGGGGCACATCACCAATGGTCTGATCTACCCTTCCTCCAAGCTTCAGTCTTAGATTATAGCACATTATAAACATCTCTTATCACAGTACAAATACGCACTTGATGGGTATACAGAGTACTGTATAACAGCACAGTATAATCTTTGGCAGCCATATTGATTGGATTATTTTTAGTTTATTTTCATAAATAAGTCTTACCTTGACCCATGTACAATTTACAGAGCTCTTACTAACGTTTTAAATGAGTATTCAAGGTCTGTTAGCATCGCTATCTGCTCCACATATATTTATGGTCTTGTCCACACAATTTTGTCGCCTGGTGTTTCAAAAACTTGCTAAAGTGGTTCGTAGACTTTGTTGAATTTTTCTTGCAATGGTCTCCTGTAGCTTTTATCACAATGCATAAAAATGGAAAATATATCTGTAGTTTGACGACAAAAGGCCTTGTCAATAGCTGTCCAACTCAATGTACATGTAGGGGTTTTTACAAGTGTTATTGCAAGCAGGTTTCCACTTCCCACATAGTCAGGTACCTGCAAATCTGAGATAGCTATCAAGAAAACCAGAATCCAGACAACCATTTTTACAACTGATTGATTTCTCAGATAAGTGCCAGGTGTTACTGTCAGTGGAATTAAATTCAGCTGAAGATAAAAAACTGACAACTTTCTTTGGATACAAAATCAAAGAGTGAAAGTTTTTTGTTTTTGTTTTTAATTTGATACGTTCCGGTAATTAGAAACTAAAAAATATGCAATTAGCTGCAAGTACCTATAATTTTCAGTCAGGTTTTATGTGTATGGATATAGTCGTAAATAAAAAGATGCATATCCCATGATTCCACACAATTTTTAGTGTTCAGAACAAAAGTTATGCTACCTATAACCTAAAAGTTGAGCGTTCTAAACAAGTTACATTGTGGAAAGAGATGGGTACTGAAACACTGGCATGCACAAGCAAACTCTTTCAGAAATTCTCACATGCAAATGGAGCAACCGTTTTTCTGGTGGAATGACACAGGTGCTCACAAGTGCTGAGTTCATGGACCAAGTTGTGATTGATGAATGTCCATGTACATTGGTTTATCAACTAACTATGAATCTTTGCTCTCTGTCAACAGACTACATATGCCCAAAGACGGAAACGGGCACCATCTCGTCGAAGGAATAAAAGAGCCATGAAAGCACATTTCAAACCTCAGTCTATAAACCACCACAGGCCCACGGTAGTCTTCATCTTGCTGACCATTTTCATGCATGAACACGTACTGGCCAAACGTGATGAGGACCAGTGTTTAACCTGTAGATACAAGGTAAGCCAGCATACATTTCCCTCAGGAATAAAATCCTTTTCTCACAAATGGACTTACATGTCAATTTGAACAGCCTAGCAAACACCAGCCTGGTGAAAGACAGTTGAAGTTTCTTGTTTTGGAGGTGGTAGGGTCGTGAAAATGAACCATTTACTGTCCTAAGTGCAGTCCACTCATAACAATAAATTATCCATTTCACTGGGAATAGTTGAATGGAGTACGTCTGTGTGTGTAATGTATTGATAGTTGACTTCTATTTGATCAAGTACAGTAGTTGGTTGTAACAAATTCCAACAAAAAGCAAAACCAAAGTACACGTTTTCACAAAAAAAATTTTAAAATTAAAGGGAAAACAATTTTTGGCCTGTCATACATTGTAAGGCATGAATTCAACTACCTTGTTCTTTAGTCATAACGTGTAATGTGCTTTACAATGCAATTTTGATACCAAATAATTCAATTTTGCCATTTTCATTTCACTGATTTTCACCTCCAAAAATTCATTTTGAAAATTAAGTTTGAATATTTTCTCATCAATTGAATATCTGAATATTCGAATAATCAGCACATTACCGTGGGCAGGCTACATGTACGTCAAAGCTCTTGTCAGTGCACCAATTGAGTTCATAACAAATACAGCGTCCAGGTCAAGGCCATGTATTAAGCACCATTTTCAAGAAATCAATGCACACTTGTAGGACACAATGTCAGGGTTGGCCTGGGATCCGATGGGGAGTGTTCAACTACCTCTGTTGAAGGCAACTGTCAAATTTTACAACTGAAGAGTGTCTGTCTACGTGTAAGCTTGGGAGAAAGGTCCATAATAGTCTTAACTTCCAGTCAAGCTGACATGGATTGAATTTTTATGTGTTTCTGTTGTACTTTTGTTCTAAACAGACAATTGAGCAACCCCAATGTCAGTCTGAAATATTCGTAGAAAAGGTGACCACTTTTGTGAATGAAACCAACTTGTGCTGCTATCAGGAATGTAAGCCTTTGCTGCAATTTAATTATCATTTGATTTGACTTTGGGTAGAATGAGTTGAAAAATATTTATCAAAGATAACCCGAGTGCGGCGTAATATTTCTCCTTATTTGACAACTGAATGAAACCCTTTACTGGTGTAGATGCTGTCAAGTTGTATTTTAAAAGCATACAGGCATAAACATGTATTACCAGATTAGTTGTACGCTAGGACAAATTCAAAGCTAGAACAATGACAAAGCGTCATTCCAAAAACAATTCAATTTTCATCTTCCATTGAAAGTAAAAGAATTGTCTAGCTGCCAACTGTCTTTGCATACCATTTATACCTATTGCAACCAACACAGCAAGATTGAAAGACATCAAATTGATGACAAATCTTCTTTTCAAAACCTTTCAAACATATCATTTGAAGAAATTGGTTGCCTCTGACAATGACTTGACTTCTGGGGCAAACACTAATTCTTACCATCGTACATGTAATGGACTATACTTACTGCTCCTTTTAATTTTTCGAATACAGTGGGAAATCAAAGGTACGCATACATAAACCAGAACTTCACTTTCAACTGCAGCGACGTCAGAAGCCTGAAAGAGTTCACAGTCAATGATATGCAGTATCTTCTTATAACAGACAGAGGGAAAAAGGGACAAGGTAAAGTGTCCTCACTTATAACAGACAGAGGGAAAAGGACACAAGGTAAAGTGTCCTCACTAATAACAGACAGAGGGAAAAGGGCACAAGGTAAAGTGTCCTCACTTATAACAGACAGAGGGAAAAGGGCACAAGGTAAAGTGTCCTCACTTATAACAGACAGTGGGAAAAGGGGACGGGGTAAAGTGTCCTCACTTATAACAGAGGGAAAAGGGCACAAGGTAAAGTGTCCTCACTTATAACAGACAGAGGGAAAAAGGGACAAGGTAAAGTGTCCTCACTTGTCACAGACAGAGGGAAAAGGGCACAAGGTAAAGTGTCCTCACTTATAACAGACAGAGGGAAAAGGGGACGAGGTAAAGTGTCCTCACTTATAACAGACAGACGGAAAAGGGGACAAGGTAAAGTGTCCTCACTTATAACAGACAGAGGGAAAAGGGGACAAGGTAAAGTGTCCTCAATTGTTGCTTTCTGGCATGGAAAAAAATCATTAAAATGTTGCAAATGAACAGTCTGTTGAGGAACCTATAAACTTTACTTGGTTAAGTAATAAGTGGTGTCTTAAATTAGCATTTTCAGATAAAAAAGAAATTTAATAACTAATGTCAACCATCAGACGCCACAAACAGACTATTCCCAAAGTTTCAAGTTTGTGAAATCATTTTTAGTAATGGGTCAAGTACATATGCATCAGATTTTCCAGTAGCATGCATGACAGCAGGCAAAAAGTGTTAGGGCCATGACTGTTGCTCAAGGAGAGGACAGAGAACACTTGAACATTTTGCAAGCATTACTCCGAGTATTAATCCATCCAGGGCGGGCATGAGAGATGAACACACAAGGATGCTCCTATGAAATTCACTGCATCCGCACATTATATTTTGCACATTCCTCACAAAAACATGCTAAGCAAATGTAACCTTGGCACGTATGTCAAATGATACAATTTGTATCAGTCTGTATGTTCTTTGCTGGTGCGGGGGCGGTTTAAGTCAGGATAGATTGCAAATATGTATGCAGTTATAAATGGTTACTGTAAATGGCCAGTTGCTTGGTTGATAGAAAAGATTTGTATCCGGAATCAGCATCACGGTACACAGATATCCACTTAGTTATCACTGATAACAAAGAAGGGAAGCAGGGTGTAACATCATTATCAGTACATGCCTGGCATTCATGTAAATATCAAAATGTAATAAATATTACTGAAAAGTGAGGCTTTGTAGACACTGTGCGGGCGATTTAGTTGTGGTGTGCACTTATCAAAATAGGTCAATTTATGGTGAGACTGACGATATATTACTTATTTCCTGTTACGGTTCATACACAAAGAAGAAACAAAGACTGACAAGAGACAGAAGTAGTTCTTTTTAGATCGTTTTATGGAGAAGCTAATGAGATCAATTTGGGCCCCAAAGCCTCATCTTAAGTGTGGAGGTCATAGGCTTAGTAAAACCTAACCTTAGGTCTCTGTGATTTACAAATATGTGGACATACGTCGTCATTACACAACTGTATCTCAAGAAGTTAATTCAAGACACAACTTGAGTTTGTCATTTGCATGTAAATCACTGATCATCAGAGTCACATTCTAAAAGATATATCTCATATTTCTCAGCAGGTGCAACAGTCAGATTAATCCGGTTTGACGAAGATCAACGAGAATTCTCAACTGTGCAAACTCTTCACATCAAGGATGTGTACAGCTCAAATATAGTCCAGCATAGGGGTCAGATTCTTCTGATGGTTTCTGTATTCAGTGGGCAAGAGTGTGGCCGATGTCAGAATGCAAAACGCAAACCCAGACGCAAAAGTCGGGTTTACATATGGAACCACTCGACGGAAAGGTTTGACCAGAGAGCAATTCAGCGTCTTCCAGCGGCCAGGCGCATACATTGGTTTCTGGATAAATACAACAATGTTAAGACTGTCATTCTCGTCATCGGACACTGTAACTGTCCCACACAGTTATTTTTCTGGGACAGAAGTACAAACCAGTTTCATCAACTTGAGTTTCATCAAACCGATATGCATGCAGCCATGAAAGGTGATTACGACATAACTGTGCAGTCTGTCCGACAGGCAAGAACACAACACATTCTACTGGGCACATTAGCAAAGCAACAGCAGTTTAGAATCTGGGTCTACAGATGGTTGCCGAACCAGGGACTGGTTTACCACACAAATGTAACAGTCCCTGTATTTCTTAGTGAGCATGAAGGTTTGAGTGTTCTTCAACACAAAGGCCAGGTCTTCATGTGCAGCAAATCCACACTAAAAATGCTAGAGGGCCAGGTGGAATTTTACAAGCTGCTCTTGGATAACTCTGTTTCCCAAAGTAAGGCTGTTCAAACAGAAGGGGAAACAGGAGAAGGACCATCTTTCTGTGAGCTCTTTGTCCATCCAGAGAACCAGGAACTCTATGCAGCTGTTGGCTACGGACGTGATGGCACAAAACTCTTCAGATACAACCTGTTGAAAGACAGGTTTATAAATGCCGGCAAGCTGTCTGAGGACATATGGGTGAGGGACGTGGTACATTTCCAAAGAGGTGATGACATCTTTGCTGTCTTGAGTTGTGCAACAGAGCACAAGTGCACAGTCTATGGCATTGAGTAAATCATCAATATTCATTCCAGGCGATATGGTCAAATCAGACAGCTCCTGGGATGTTTCCAAAGGAATATTACATGTAGCCAGTCTTGAGTCAAAGATAGAGAGTTAGTCCAACTCCGTCCAGTTGAAATTCTTGCTTTTGATCGTGAAACTTTGAAAAGCTAAGAAAACTGATGAGATTGGAAATTATTAAAATATTTCTGTATTATAGATATTTCCCTCATGAAGAATGCTGGGACAGATTTTGGAGATTCCTTGTACAAAATGTAAATGTACTAAAGCTTTATATTTTACTCAGAAAAAGGCCTTTTATTTTAGATGTCAGCATTGCAGTTCAATTTTATATAGTATTTCATTTCTAAATGTGTTTAAAGTATTTGATATAAATTTTTGTAATATGATACTGACAAACATGGTAGATGCATTATATATGCATAATATAATCATTTATGTAAAGACCTCACAAACAGCCCATTCCTATTGGTCGAGAGCCCATAGCATAGACTGTTTTTAACATAACAGATGACACAACAAATCAACTGATTTTGAATTCCTTTACATGTGAAATTTGGACTGCCATTTTCATGGGTTCTAATCCTTATCATGACAATGACTGACCTACGTATAATGATCGTCATATAGTCAATACAACTGCTTAGTCTGCACGTTTACAGAGTTTACATCTCATTCTGCATTGTTACCATGACATCTAGTGAAACGTCATGCAGTATGGACTATGTGAAATCTTGCTAGCCACGTACCACAGATGTGGCTTGTGGACGTTTCATGAAACTTGAGGCAAAATGGATGAATAAAAGTCATAGCACATTGATTTCATCCTGGATTTGCTGTTGTCCACAATCAAAAGGTGTTTATGGATGGGAATAAAAGTGTGATGAAGCAGTTAAATGAATCGGGAGAACTATCAAGAGACTTCCATCATATTTATTCCCTGATTTAAATTTGTGCATTTTTGAACAATTTGTTTTGGATCAAAGTGATCAAATATATTGAACAAACTGTTCAAACATTGTTTGTCAATGGCTGAACAAAGCTAGAACTCTGCATGGATGTGATTAGTGTAGCTTTTTATTAGTGTTTGATTCTTCATTAATGACTATATGCCATCAACTTGAAATGGACTTGAATGATTATAAGTTACAGTGCAGAAACCAAGACTGATTTTTTAAAACAGGATTTGGTAGAATCTTATTCCCAACATTCTGATAGATTGTACAAAATATAAAGGGTTTGAAAACGGCACAGCACAATCCAATCTTGAGAGATAAATTAGTGCTTACCTTGTTACTGCTATGTGTAAGACAACAGATTTATCTCATAACTTCCATCAACCTAAACGACAGTAAAATTCAAGTTAGATATTTCTTGAAGCAAGGAAGTATTCTGTGTAGTCTGAAAAAAATTGTTGATGAGATAGTTTTCACAATGTTTTAAAACGTTCCTCCAAAATAACATTCTATTAACGTTTCCTTCAGATGGCAAGGACTAAATGCTTTGCTTTGAAGCTTGAAAATGATGTCAAATCTAGAGGTACATATACCCGGTAGTTTTTGAACGGAGGGGTGTAGGTCATTGATTATTCTCCTCTCCCCGCCAAAACGCACCTTCTCTTGGAGAAAAAAACCCTAAGGTTATTTTCAACATTTCCAACCTCCAATTAGAAATACACACCATAGTGATGTAAGGTTAGAGCAGGATACAACGTGATGTATGACAAACGTAAGATGCACAGATTGCCAGTTTTGCACATAAAAACCAGTAGCAGCAAAGCAGTGGATGACAGTGTGTGATCAGTGGGCATTATGCCCTTACACTGCCTGTACTTCTTTACACGTAGTCTCATAATATATATAACATATATAATACGTGAACTTTTCTGTTCTTTGGCCTCGCCACCTTTTTGTTTCAGATGCTTCAAATCCATTGTTTTGAATCTACATGGGCCAGATTAAGCATATGGACGATTTTTTTTCACAATTGGAAAAATTGGGTCATATATGGCTAGAATTCTTCAACTGTGCGAAAATTCCCAACACCAAGAGGTGAAATTTCCCTTTGTTGTGTTTTGTTGGACACAAAAAACATGTACTTTGGAATACAATTTGCCAGTCCATGCATACAAGTGTGCAGTACGTACATGTATATACCTGCATGTGTCTTAAGGAGCTTCCCCTTATGTCATGTGATATTGGTATTCTGTCCATGGGCTATACATGTACGTGTACAACTAAACAATCTTATGGTAAGCATTTCACAGGATGCTGCATAAGGGCATTCTCAATGACTTTCCCAAATGTGTTATCTCTGTTATTTGAGGATGCAATGCAGATGAAAATATCATGATTTTGTGCACATTCAATTAAAAATTGGTCTTGTACCCTGTGAACTACTCATACCCTTTGCTTGTCTTAGATGAGTATGAATTGAGTCTGGTATGATGATTCTGTACCTTACACAATTCTGTGCTTACAGCACTTGCACAATATATGTCATAGCCCTATAAATGACTTGAAGTCCCTTGCTAACCCATGAAATAAATGCTAAGCATGAGAACTAAATTATTTCAAGATTAATCATTCTTGGTGAACAAAGTCATGGTGTGGGAATGGCGTATTTGTGAGACATGTGCTGTTACTTGGCACTTGCAAGTAGTCAACAAAGTGGTCAACAAAGTACTCTACTCACATCGTATCTACCCAGTGATACTTGTGTTTGGTTGGCTCGCATAGTCTCCGTCAAAGCCCACAGATGTTGCAAGCCAGCTGTGATCTTGTCCACAGGAGGTGTACTCTTTATAACAGGAAATGTAATTGAAAACATAAGTTTTCTGCACTGTCTTGCCATTTTTCAAAGAAAAGTGCTTATCAAAAATGTGTGGCAAAGACATTTAGGAGGAATACTACATGGGGTTATGTAAAGGGAACTGCAGCAAAGATATTGTGGTCAACCCTTTATCATTGCTAATAACCTGTGACTAGTGGACATAACCAAGGACACATTACATGATTTGTGACTGACACAGGGAAATTAAGGGGGGTTGCATCCTACCAGCTCACCTCTGAGTGTTTCTTGGATGTCTGTCTTGGGTTGGAGTCAGTTAGATGTTGATTCTCAAGCAACCAGGTTGTGACAGAGGTTAACCTCTCAGGCTTGAGTTTTAAAAGTAAAAAAAAAAATATTAATATTATTCATAATATACCTTTCCTAATATGTCGGAGTACACTTTCAATTAATTGCATTCCGTGAAGGATTTTGATAACCATTTGTTTGAATTCAATGCCTTTAACCCCTTCGCACCAGAACCTTCGACAGCCACAGCTTTGTGTGAGGATTAGTGCATACCACACATACAGTCTAGTCACCATGCAGCTGCTGTTTGAATGGGGTCTGCTGTTGGACAGAGCTTTGCATTCTGGGCATACCGCAGCCCAGCAGTTGCGGTCAAAAGAATCCCAAAAGGGGTGCAAAGGGTTCAGGAGTTTCAATCACTCATTACTTTGATCTCTTAACCTCGTATAATTTTTTTAGATTATTCCAGATTTTTTGACTTTTCAAAAAGCAATATACAGAAGCCAGTGTTTGACACATCGGCACAGCCAAATGGCACTAAAACTAATTCGCAAGATAGAGCCACTAGAAAAGTACCTAGGCTGCAACTTCATATTTTTCCGCACACCCTGGCACACTAAGAGCAATATGTGTTACCACAACAGGCAATGCACAGCGGCCACATTCAAGTACAACACATGGGTCAACACATGGGTCAACACATGGGTCAACACATGGGTCCACATCCACCAAATTTTGCTCATTGAAACCTACTGAATAAATGATATATGGAAGAAGCATGCAGTCAGGTGAAAAACTGAAAATGACAGCTGCATTCTGGAATGACTTTACAGGCTACGAAAGTAAAATGAATAGTTAATTGCTACTTTGTCCAGGAGGCTGTGGGGAACAGGCAAAATGTTGGTTTACATACTGACCTTTATCTCTGGTGGAAAGATAGCCACTTCCTCAATGCCAAAATGAGCCCAGACAGGGGAGGGCTGCTGTAAAACAAGACGCACTGCAATTACTTCAGTCGGTTCAAACAGCATCTGAGGCATGGACGAAGAACATAAAGAAGCATCAGAAAGACCCATCCACTCCAACTAATATTTTTGAAAATAAATATTCCTAAATACTCAAACCCTACCACTCTGCGGGGACCCTATGGTGCATTTTTTACATATTAAATATCAAGTGGCAGAGACTCCATTATAGAAAAGTAGTGTCTATTGAAACAGGAGTTGTTAGCCAAGTTTCAAGTTCTTTGGATGATGGTATTGCCAATCTAATGTATACGAGGTTTTGGATGTCATGAAATGTGAGAAAGGTATTGCAGTGCTTCATTGATAAATACACCATTCCTCATGCCCAAGGCACCAGGTTGGCCCCTAATGCCAGTCATCGTTTTTTTCTTTTTTCATTTTTTGGGGGGTGGGAGGTTTTTTCCTCTTTATTTTTGCAATCAAACCCGGTGTTTATTTTCCATTGATTTTTTTTTTCATTTTCTGGTAGAGGCATACCCCTGAAGAATTTTTAGGGAAAATCCTGAGGTCCACCCATTACAGGCTGGTCTGGTTCCTGTCTCCAATGCTGCAGATTGTTGCAACACAGGTACATGTAGAATGCAATCAATCAGTCTAGAATGCTGCAACTATTGCCATGACCCCAAAATGGCTAGGTTTTATCTTCCCAAATATTGCACAATCCACCCAAAATATCCAAGGAATTTGGTGTTATTTGAACTAATGAGATTGGGGTTCAGCGATAGGCTTCACGAAGCTTAGAGCAGATGACACTGTGTAGGCTACATAAAAGTACCACTAAGCCACTGCCATTTGAGTTCAAGGTACATGTGCAAGTTGGCAAATGGCCAAACTGATGGGTAGATGTTGCATGTGCATAAATCGCTAAATGACCTTAGACCTTTGGACACTGAACTTGTTCATCACATCCCCGGCTCAAACTGGTTGGCTGACACAAATCGAAGTAAACATGCCCAGTTTTCAACTGAATGGGTACAAATCTACCAAGGCATCTTCAAAGTTGAGATTCTCAGGGCAGTTCATAAAAGAAATGAGGCAAAACTGTAAGGCTGCAGTATTTGCATTACATGAAGTTGTGGAAAGTCTGTCTCATTCGAAAGTCAATTAACGGTGTACAAAACTGCAATTAATGAAGGGAAAACCTCGCACTACTTCAACCAGATTTTCTTCTACTGCACAAGCCATACCTCTGATTTTGAGACGGTAAAATAAGCTTGACTTGCTGTTTCAGTGTGTGGGTCGGGCATAAGACGAAGCTGCCTCACACAGTCCCTCCATCGTGTTTCTTCTGAAATGTATAATATTCGAAGGATTTCAGTGTTTATCCTACAAGATGTAGGTCATTTGTACCTTTGCTTATGTACACAAACTTACACAGATCATTATATTGTACACTGAAGTCAGAGAAGGATGCCAAAGGTTTGCAAGGGTGGATTTGAAGAGACCATCTCTTTAATTCACAGAAATGTGCTGGGGAAAAAAATTGTTATGCTTCTGGTTAATCTACATGTACCCTGTTCTGACAACGGGACCTTACATTTTAGGGGAGATTTGAAAAAATGTGAAATTAGGAGATATAGAGATGTCAAAACTGGGGTGGCAAATTCTAAAGCTTGACACACATGTGCTTTTGGCAAATCACGACACCCTGTTGGTCAAAGAAGCATTTAAAGCACAACATAACACCTATTCGAGTTATCTGTGACACCGCAGTAATGGCTTATAATTCAGGTTGTCAAACTTGGAGGGCTGAACTACATGGCACTTGTTTTTCTTAGGGGGGACTTAACATTGCCCTCAGACAGACAGAAATCTTGCTCTACCTTTCTCATCTTGTGGCTTACACTTGACTTTAACAGTGATGAAAGCTGTGTAGTTGTTTTTAAATGTGATATTCCCAAGCTGAAAAGAAAAAGTCAGATATCATTTGGAAGTCACCCTCTTTTGTTCATGAACATTCAAGTTTTGTTAAGATCCATTCAGTTTTGTGAATAGGATAGGAAAAATGACCTCCTTCGGAGTACATCCCTGACGCTGTTAACATCACTATCTTCTGTTGGAGGGATGCCAATGATAAAAGAACAAACAAATGCTGGCATTTGATTTGTGGTGGGAGGGCATTGGGAGCACCTCCCACACACACACACACAAAAACACCAGCTCAATGTAAAGCCCAAGCTATAGTAAATCCACTCAAAATTCAAATTTCAAGCAAGGATTATGCTGACTTAACACTTGAAAACGGTATGCAGAAATGAAAATGACGTCTACTTAAGCCGCAAATTTCATTGAGAACATCAACTTCACAGTCATTTTTCTATGGAGAAAATAGGACAAAATTTTGAAAATGCATCCACAGTGGTTTTTCAACAAGCAGGTGGCGGGGAGTGTAAAACATGGCTCAAATCCCAGAGACAATAAGGACGATTCACAATAGTGTGCCTCCAAGAGTTTGCAACACGTTGGCCAATCACGATGCGCAAAATCTGTCCACGCAATGCACGTTTGGAAAGGGTCGACAAATTTTGTGCCTTGTGATTGGCTAATGCATTGCAAACTCTTGGAGGCGCACTTTTGTGAATCCCCTGTGTTAGCCAAGCAAATTTGCTTCAAGTTCAATGACATCCTCACGGTCGGAGGTTGTTCCATTTACTGCACTCACGCGAAGGGCAAAGAGGCGACTCTCCGTTCACTATGTACAGGGATTTGCATGTTTTTCTTCCTTTTTTGCTGCAACATGATAAGAACGACTGAAACCTTTTCAGTACAGTGTGGGAGATATTCACAGTGGATGAACAGTGAATATTCAGGCACATTTTGATGTAAAAGTTAAGAGTTTAATCAATAATTCAGATTTTCCCCAAAGACAGCAACGCTATTTTTGCCTCTTTGAGTTTCGAGTGTGAAATATGGAATAGCCACCAACTGACTGATCAGAAAGAATAATCAAGACTCAGTAACATCATCCCGACTATACGAGAATTGAGAACATTTTCATTCTAGCAGTCGGCGTGATGTCACTCTGGATTTCAACACACTGCAAAGGGGCAAATTTATCTTCAATAGTGTAATAAAGTTCTTGAATGTCTGACCACAAGAATGATTGTTTCGATAGTCAATACGCACTGTCATCATGGTCAATGGCACTGCCAAAGTGCAATTTGACGTAAAGCCTACACAATTACTGAAAAAAAGAATAAACACTCATTAAGGCATGTAAGGGATGTAATCCCTGTTCTTTTTAAGATTTTTGGTGGCTAGTCATCCAAGTCATGTCCTGAAGGCCTGAGCAACGACCGACAGTAGAGGGCGCTTTCACGAAAACAGTATCGTACGCCATTCTTACGTCAAAAGTTTGGACACTTTGAAGTGCAATATCGACAACTGCAACCCCACTGCTGAAATTGTCTTTCTGGTCGCTGACTCTTATTTCTAGAGGCTTTTTAACCACACAGTTTATTCCAGCTATTTTTCCGTTCATGACTGCAAAAAGCCTTCCAAGCTAATGGAGGAAAAAGGCAGCACAACGATCCATCACAGTGGCAGTGTAGAGATGATGAACAGCCTTGTCACGTCAAAGTGGCCGCCACTCATGCGCGCGCGCATGTGTGCATGGCTAGCTAGCTAGGCAAGGCAAGGGAGAAAAAAAGCTCGGTTTCTCTTATAAAATTAAGTCAATTCTTTATATATAATTTTTTTATACAATATTTAATAAGTCAAGTAATGCACTGAGTGATATTAGAATTTAAGTATACGTTTATTTAATTTCTAATAACAGTATTGTTGAACGAGCTTAGAAGCCATGGTGATAAGAAACATTGGTTCCATAGCAACAACAGCTATTGCCAAATAAAGGTCAACTGTTTGTCGAGTCGCGTCGGAGACTTCCGGAAACTGACGACTAAACAACGGACACACGGACCGTACCCGGCCCTTAGCTTCACACGCAAAATACAGCAGCGCAGCATCAGCACGAACGGCAGAGCAAGATTTTGTGTTTATTCGCCACATCGTACCAGTGAACCGGACTTTCCAATAAATAATGGCAGCTGCTGAGAACAGACTTACCCTTCCTGAGGAGGTAACACCGCTACAGCACTATTTTTGCCCATGAGTTTTGAGTGTGAAATACGGAATAGGACTAGCCTAGCCACCTATCATGCCAATTGAATAATCAGAGAAAAGAATCAAGATTAGTGATGTCATCCCGGCCTAGAACTTAAAAGACCATAGGCCCTAATATTAGGGACTGTTACAAACTAACGTTAGTTCAAGCAGCCTAACTTTCACTCTACGAATCGCCTTTTTTTAACGTGGACATGGTCAGACAATAATACTAGTTCAAGTAGGCCTCCCTTCCATTCTCACGGTCGGCATGATGTCACTACGGACTTTTAACACGGGGCAAAGGAGCAAATTTACCCTTCATGCTATTCAGTAATGTAGGCCAACAGTAGTCTGAGTAGTTTTGACCCTAAAATTGCTTTTTTAACATTTGGACAGGGTCGGTGATAGTAGGGGCCAAGTACCTTCCATAGGCTTTTGCTTCCATTAATTTCATTTAACTCAAAATAGCTCATACCCGAATCAAAACCTCCGAATTCACCTCTAAAATGGACCTTAAACTGTCTACTGCACCCAGCTTAGGATCAAGTGAGAATCAGAGATTCCATAATGATGATAAGGTTTACTCACATTTGGGAAGAAAAGAGAAATTTACCCTAAGTATACAGTGTTAAAATACACGTTGGGCAGGGCAAAAACCCCCACCCCCCCAAAAAAAAAATTTCCCTGCCGCAAATCCATCTTCGAAATAGTTGTTCGCAGTACCTGCTGCAACATCTGACTCAAACCAGCCAGCTGACACCGACAAGCTCGTTGGTGGTGGTTTAGACATCCACACTAGTAAGCAGGAGGTCGTGGGTTCAAGTCCCACCTAAGTACGCTTAAGGTTTTTTCACAAGCTCTTGGGGGTAAACACTGAGTATACAGTGTTAAAATACACGTCGGGCAGGGCAAAAATAAAAAACCAGTTATGACACATGCTGTCCTTGTCCTGGCCTGCTGCCTAACATCTCCAACTTGAAACAGTCATGTCCTTTTAGGGTGCTGGCACATGCAGGTCAAGGTGAAAATGGCTGCTTTCAGTGCAATATGGGTGTATACAGGGTATGCCAGACGCATGATAGATTTATGAGTGGTTTATGGCAAAATACGCACTTTTTCTTTGTTGATGTACATGCATGGAGTTTTTAGCCGTGTCACTTCGCACAGCCTACGTACCAAAGCCTTAAATATCAAGCAATATGCGAATCTCTGTTGGCACACAAATTTGAGGAAAAAAATCGGAGCCTAGCTGAAACAAACAGGTTTTTATGAAATTTTTTCTTGAATTCTTTTTCACTCCAGATGCAGAACCCACCAGCGGAACAGATGGGTGACATGCCAGACCCAACTCAAACAGCCCCTGCCGTTAGACCACAGAAAGACCAGACATCAGACCACTACCGCACCAATAACATCCCAGCAAGATTTGAAAATCCTGGTGAGCTTTACAAGATGGCTTCCCTTTGTTCTTTTTAACACAGTAACATCCAGGTGGAAGTTGTGTAAAATAAATCAATCATTTGTCACGCTAGTGTCAAAGGACAACTCTGACCTGGGAATGGCCCTGTGTACTGTGTCAAACAAGTGATTGAGATGAGATAAAACTCGAGCCAACTCGTGGAAGCTAATCGAATGTACCCTAAGTAAGATGCTTTCTTTCAAAATAACAAAGACAATATGGTGATTACAAGGTCTCTGGAGATGTCAGCAGAAGAGCCTTCAATTGTTTCTGAAACAAAATGGTTATCAGTGTACATGTAGAGGTAGATGGATGGTA